AGGTATGTGGTGAAGGTTTCAATTGCCATCTCCACTATAAATTGAGGCATTCAGCCAAATGAGAAAATGCACCAACCGAGAAGAAGAAAGAAAAAGAGAGCAGAAACAACATCAGTTTCTGGAGTGAGTGTTATTTTTCAGTGAGATAAAAATAGAGTATTTGAGTAAATCCTGTGAGTGTGAGAAAAATACACCGGGTTGGGTATCAACTCTATTACTCTTTGTTTAAGAGTGGGGTTCTCATTGGGTCACTATATTTTACATTTCTAGTGTAAGGGAATGTGAAAATATATTGTAATTATCTTGAAAATATAGTGGAATTGTTCGGAGGTTGTCCCGTGGTTTTTTCCACTATTTGGAGGGTTTTCCACGTTAAATCTTGGTGTCTTATTTCTTGCATATTATATTTATTTGGGATATTCTTAGTATGCTCTGTGGTCGCAGTTTAATCTGAACTTCCACATCAGAAAAGAATTATTCCGGTGTTATTGCAAGAGTTTTTTCTTTTGTCATTCTTGAGTTGCTGGGATTGGGATTATTGTTCACCATTTTACGTTAGTATTTTAATTTACATCTTCCGCATTTGCGCATCTGAGCCCAACAGTATATACGAAAATAGCTTTCTGCAAGTGTGATTCTTGAATGGAAAATTGTTTACAAATTCACTCTTTTTTTTAAGTTGAAACTTCAACGTTAGATTCCTTATTATTTAATTGTTCGATATTTTGCAAGTCTGAAGCGTAACGGGAAGAAAGATCAATTTCGGACTGTAATAAAGGGGGGCGTAGCTCAATATATTTAAATAGTTTTTATTGATTATTTTGTATTGTTGTCCTTAATTATTTTGATTTTTGATTTTCCTCTTTAGTGTTTCCTTGTTTATAGTGGCATTCACTCTCTAATGATCATGTAAAATAGCCTTGACAAAAATTCTGCGCTGCCCTTTTGTTTAGCATTTTAATTACACTTTTGCGAGTTTTAGCAATCAAAAGACATTAATTTTTGTATTGTTAAAAATCAAATCATGTTGGTCATCTTTTGTGTCGGAAAGATGACATGGCAGGCTACAAAAATGGACGTGGCTTTGAATACAAAAATTTCAAAAGAAAAGTAAAATCACCAGGAGAAAAAAACCAAGAAGAAAGAAATTCATGAACAACTGTTGAATGTGCCGAAAAAATCGAAAAAATATTAAGCCAATTAATACATTGAAGTAGATTGATAAGAGACAACGAAATGGATGTTGATGGGTATGTTGGATATCGGACGAAGAAGGTGACCTTCTCGACTTCTGATCGGTCCATAAATTCTACAAACCGGCAAACATTTAGAAAATTAATTAGTTAGATAATTCCTGTTAAGTATTCCTGGCGTTGTGGAGCTCGTCCGAGTGGAGCTGCCGGCAGCTCACGGCCCTCGAAGAGATTCATGGACGTTGTTTGTGAAGCTTTGGATCATGAAAGAATGATACAAGAGCTGAAATAATAATTAAGCAACAATTTTTTTTTTTCGGGTATCTCATGGAAATGTAGTCCCTTTTATGCATCTATTTTTCAGTCAATTAACAGTGTATCTTCTGAAACTTAATATTATGTTATTGTTTCATATAATATTCATTCTTTCACACTTGTAACAAAACATAACATCATGATACTTGTACATCATATCCCTCTTTTCTGAACAATTCTAAATATATTATGATTAATCGACTCGTCTGACCGCCAATTATATGATTAATCGACTCATCCGACTGCCAATATGTCACCTAACAAGGTGCATCTCTATTTTAAATATCCTTTGCAGGTAGAATTTCGACGCTATAGGTGATTGCACACAAAAGTCACCTAGTTTTTTTACCATTAAATCAACACATACTCATAATATGAATGTTTATTGATTCAACAGTAAAAAAATCCAGCACAATTCAGTATAATTACCAAAGGTATAATTTATTTTTTCGCTTAAACTATATTATAAGTAAATATAATACTATAATCATTCGTATCATGTCATTGCTTCCGCGGCTTGTGGAAGATGCTAATAGTTTGTATTTGACAGGGCCGAGGATGCTCGACAACCTATGAGCCGTGTTGTTCTCATTTCTTCTTCCCATCTTACCCCTTATCGTGTTGTGATCATTCTTCGTTTGATCAACTTGGGATTGTTAAAAACTTAGCTGCAACACAATTTTATAAACAACTTCGTAATATCATCACAAAAATCTTTAGGCGAGGACAAACTATTTAAGTTCGCATGCATTCTCGGTCTAGGTAAGAGAACAGAGCTCACCTTCACACATAACTCTGGCACAATAATATAACAGAAATCTATGCAGAATAGTATTATGGCTAAATGTTACATAAACGAGACTGAAAATTGAAATCATCGTGTAACGGTAAACAAAACTATGAACAAACATCGCCGTCAAATATTTCGTGCACAAATTGAATGCAATTTTTTCGACATTGATCAGAGCAAACAAAGCTTATGTTTCTGGGGTTTCATCCTTCAGTAAGTGTGCTCAAAAAGGACGAAGTGACATATCAACAAGACGGACTGATGATGATCATTTATAATCTTCTTTAGCATTTTTCTCTTATGATTCAGCTCCGCCCGTATTCAGGAATGTCATCTTCCCAAAAGATTCTTTTGCATCTCCAAAAAAATTATTCACCTTATCCACAACAGTTTTGGGTTCATATCCTGAGTTGGAAGCTGGAAAATTGCACCCAAATATAAAGTATGAAAGGAAAAGCATGAGAAAGAAAATAAGTAAAGCTGAAAAAATTGTGCCACATAAACATAACATGTAAGAAATGTTGGAAATTACTGTTTCAAATAGCTCGCTAGATTGCGTTTTTTTTTTTTTTTCCAAAAAAACGCGACGTAGCTTTCAGGGGCCTGTAGGAGCACGGGCCCCTGTGCAATTTTTTTTTTTTTAAATTAGTATATATATAATTATATTGTAAAATAATTATAAAGAGATTTTCTTAAAATTTAAGTTGTTTACATTTTGTATTTGTATTATGTTGTAGGCAACATATATAAATGAGTTAGATAAATTTTTCACAAACATCAACATTGATTTTAATACATATTGAATGCCAGGTGTTCTTCAAATTATAATTATAAGTTTAAAGTTAGCTACTAAATTGTGTTTGACATTGACTTTTTAACTAATAAAATATTTATCTTTAAAGAAGCCCATGAATGTTGACGTTGTAAGAATCTCCAATGCAAAAGAAAAACAAAAATGTTAGAATTTGAAAAAGATATATTTAATGAGACTAGAATTTATGTAATCATGATTTATACAATATATAAGAATATACAGAGAATAAATATCATTTTTTGCACTTTGTAAAGATTACGTTTGTGCACCCTCAGTCTTGCGGGTCTGCGTCCGCCCCTGGTAGCTTTACATATTTAGCGTTTTTTTTTCTAAAATTTTACACGAAATGCTGAAATAGCACGTTTTTTACGCTATATTGGGTTATTTCACGCTATTTTGTGCTATATTTCTGCAATAACGTTTAAACAATAAAATAGTCAAATGTATTTTCTAGGATTAGAGTTATATTCTTAAATGACTAAAAACTAGAACTTTTGATAATGATATCAATTTAAATGTTTGCAAATGCAAAGTCCTAAATTGAATAGTGCAATATATATATTGGTCAACGTCTATTATATCATTATATTGTTGAGTATTTGACATTTAAATTTAAGAAAAAAGTTCAGATGTAGTGGTTAGATTTAAAGTGGAATTAAATAAAACATTAATTAATTACAATGTATATGCTTAAAATTAAATTATGTCTTATCTTATTACATTTTTGTTGTTTGTTTTAACTTTTTATTTTATTCGCATTGTTATTTAAATATTTATATTATGACATTCTCGAAAATACGATTGACAAAAACGTATTCAGCGTGCAAATTTGATCGAATATTTTATCCAAACTAACTAAAAATCTTAAAATGAAGAACTAAATAATGGACCAATTCAGATCCCAAAAGTTATTTAAAAAAAAAAATAAACCAATACAAGTGTTAAGAGTTTTGTTGAGGGTATAAATTGTGGTTTTAAAATATAAATATAAATAAATACGGCGGACAGATACATACAAGCTCTTGGGTTTATAGGGTTTTGAAGTGATGATGACGGCCGCGCGCGGCGAGTTTTTCTTATCGGAGCCCATAATCCATCGCATACAATCTTTTCTCAGTGGTGAAGAAGCTGCCCGAACGACTGTCCTGTCTAAATCTTGGCACCAAGCCTGGCTCACTCGCCCCAACTTGGAATTTAATAGATACGACTTTTACCCCGTTGATGAATTCTTGAAGCTTATGGAGAAGACTATTCAAAGGTATGAAGAATCGAACCTAAAGATTGAGAGTTTCAGTCTAATGACGCATTCTTTGAATGATTTATGTGACGATCTGATTATTAAAGCATTCGGAATGGGTGTTACTCGTCTTAGCCTTCAACTTTTTGTCTGCTCTGTTTTGCCGGCTGAGGTGTTTGGATGCAAAGACCTTGTGGAGCTATCTCTGATAAGGGGCAGAATCGTCCTTGATCCCGAGCATCAAGTACAATTTCCGAGGCTCAAAGCCCTTACTTTAAAGTGGCTACAAAGTGCGGAAGTGATTTCTGGCTTACTTTCGGGCTGCCCCTTGCTCGAAAAACTGGCACTCACATCATATGTTACCATAAGGCTTCCTAACTTGCCAAAGCTAACGCATCTGGAGCTGACGAATATGATCATTGATACCTCGTTTTCGGTTGACTTATCTTGTAAATTTCCTTTGCTGAGAGATTTATCCATCCATAACTGCTATTTCCAAGGGAATTTACTCATATCTAGCCCAACAATTGAGTATCTATACATCGAAACAGCTTGGAGTAAGGGTCGAGTTTGATGTTCCAAGTAACCAACCAAGCCAATGCGCCCCTACTTTCTCCATCTATAGGGACTCGAACATTCGTAAATTTGAGTTTAAAAGCTGGGAAAATCTGTCATCTTCCCTGTCTTTTAAACCAACATGTGTAAGAGAATGGGAGTCTCATTTATCCATAAAGGGTGTTGGTACTTTGGGGATCATTGGGTTGAACAAATTATTAACAGATTTGAGACACTCTAAAATTCATCTCTTGATAGAAATAGACAGCAGATATATCTTCAGTTATAACGAGTGGGAGTTCGATGACTTGACACTGCACCAAGTCGAGGAGTTGATGATAGATGGCATGGATTGCAACATTCCGTCTTTGACTAGTTTTGCTCTTTTTGATGGTTTGTTTCGGTTGTGCCGTCCAAAGTTCATCACTCAGCAGAATCTGCAGACTCCTAATTACCTGAGTGATTTCCTTTTTAAGACATTTCTCAGACATGAAATAAATGATCACGAATGCTCGGCTAGTAGCCTCGGTATGCATGGTTTGCGTCATCTTGAAAAAGTAAGAGCTCAGATTTTTGATGAAGATGTTCATACTTGGCGGCTTATTCCATTGGATACTTGGGATGCTTTAAAAGACCAGAACAAAATTCGATTCCAGTTGACGTGGAGAGATGAAAGCCAGCAGGTTAATTAAGATAAATGTTATTGTGCCTTAAATTTGCTTCTCCCATCTTTCCTGTTCAATTCAATAAAGGTGTGCCAGAACATGAGTTGGATATTTTCACGATAGGCGTGGATGGCTTGTCGTCTTTAATCTGTTATCTATCTTTTGTGGTTGGTTTTTTATTTGCGACTCAAAATGTGATAACTCACTACCTACTTCCCGAGACTTGTTGAGACAGTGAATGGGAAATTCTTGAGCCATCTTTACTTTTTTATGGTGATGTTGTTGTGTGGACTTCATGGCCATGAGGAGATGTTTTTACGTTCTTCGACGAGAATAGAATGTTGGTCCATCTTCTGTGACGGACTTATAAGATCGTCGTGTTCAACTTGATATGGATTTTTGGTGAAAAATATAAAAGTAACTCCATAATTATAGGGTTTATCAAATGTATTTCCATTAGACTACTGAATGGTAGTAGGCTCGTAACTTTTAAGTTATTAACCAAAGACAAATTTGTGGGGATTCACTCGTCTCATGGGAAATGACATTTCATTTCATGTTCATACATCAAGTTAGCTAATATCCCCATGACTATTTAAAATTTATATATATTGAGAGGTTGTTGGAATAATTAAAAATAATAGCTTTAACTTTCTAATTAAATTATACCTAATTGTTGCAAATTTTACAATTTGATCTTGTCTATTTTCACCATACATCTAACTACGAACTCAAGATAAGCAACACATCTGATCGTGTCTATTTTCACCAGACAGCTGACTGCGAATCCAAGACAAGCAACACAACAATCCGAGAAGCATATTTCGAAACTCTCTTTTTCTCCAAGAAAGAGTTGGCCAACTATATCTGCCAACCCCCAAGCCCAAGTCCAACTCCCTACAAATCCCCACCGCAAACACTCGGAGGACTGCCTCGGCTTACCACGCCTAAGACTGCCAAGCCCTCGCCGGATCCCAACCCCAGAGAACTCAAACAAGGAGCAGGGAAGGGGATGTACTGGCCCAAGCCCCGTCCACCACCAGCAGCGAACGGGGCCAACATCCCTCTCCACAAGTCATCGGACTGTTCCGCAGCAGCCATCCATCGCCGAAAGAAGTGTCGCTCCGGGAACGGAAACCGAAACGGGCCAGAGAGGCAAATGCCGCCCCAGTGCTCGTCAGTCCCGTGTTGGAACGAAACTCTCTGACTGAAGAGGAGGCTAGGCCAAAAAAAAATAAAATAATGAGGAACTGACCTTTTTTCACTCTTGTCTTTGACCAACGGTTTCACTTTCACTTATTAGCCCAACTAAAACAATTTTATCGTCAACCACATTTCAATCCCCAAATCCCATTTCTAGGGTTTTGCAGAAATGGACGAAACAATTCCGTTGCCGGAGCCCATAATACATCGTATTCACTCCCTTCTCACCGCCAAGGAAGCTGCTCGGACAACCCTTATCTCAAAATCATGGTACACAGCCTGGTTAACTCGCCCAATCCTCGACTTGGACGAGACCGAGTTCAGAGAAACTCGCCGCCGCAACAACTACGGTCGCTACAACCACGATGGTTTCTCGGAATTCGCGAAGAAGCAAATCCGGAGATGCGAAAAATCGAACCAAAAGATCGAGACTTTCAGGCTCTACCTGGAGCGCGAGCCGCGGGCTGATTGGGAAGCATCTAGTCTTTCCTACGAATTGGTCCTGACAGCATTGAGATTGGGTGCCAAATATCTCGATTTGAAGCTCAACGGTTCCCGTGGAGGGAAACCCGTCTTGCCGGACGAGGTATTAGGAGCTGAGAACCTCTTCGGTTTATCTGTGGAGGGGTACAGGATTATCGACCTGGTTCGAGATCAAAAGGTAAGATGCTCGAAGCTCGAACACCTTAGTTTGAAGGATGTGAGTATCAACCCTGGTGTGGTTTCTGAAATAATGTCGGCATGTCCCTTGATAGAAAAATTGTCTATGATCGAAATTACTAATTTTAATGGAGGGTGTTTGAAATCCACATTTTATGATGCTATGATATGTAGTCATAAGCTGACGCATCTGGTTCTGTGCAACGTGAGAGCTGATGCCTTGTTCTTCAGTGATGACTGCTTGTCGTCTAAATTTCCTTCCTTGAAAGATTTAACCCTTGAGTTGTGGTACCTTCATAATCGCAATGAAGCTGAAAAGAAATTACGAGTTTCTGTCAACTCGCTTGAGCGTTTACAATATGTTTCACGCCACGGTCGCCCGGTGGCTGTTGAGTTTGATGTTCCATGTATTCGTAAATTTACATTCAACAATGACAGTTTCGAAGTTCCTCCTGTGGTTATTAAAACGAATTCAACTGAATGGGAGTCTCATGTAACCATGAGCCGTTTTCGTCCCAATACTTCGATGTTTCTTGAGCTGAGTAAGTTCTTGACACAGCTGAGCCAATCCAAACTTTATCTCACTCTCAAAGTCGACAGTGTAGAAAGGGCTGACTACGAGATGGAGGACTTACTAGGTTTACCCTGCACACTCCAACTCGAGAATTTGACGATAGAGACCAAATATCTAGCGTCTTTAATCGGTTATGCTCTTTTTGATGGCTTGTTTCGGTTATGCCGCCCCAAGTGCATAACTCAACATCTACTTTATGTGCGGAGATATGGCAATGAGCACGGTGTAACCGATGATTTCCTTTGCAAGATACTCGAGCGAGGAACTAAGGGGCACTTTTCGTCCCCATTTAATTTTTTTTATGGTCTGCATGGTCTCGAGGAGGCTTACGTGCTGGCTCCTGCTGATGAGGCTGTTGGTGTGTGGAGACTTCTGACAAGTGATTTATGCTCTGATAATACTGCTTTTGCAAGCACGGATGGCCAGGGGAAGGAAGTTCGAATCTTATTGAAATGGAAGGAGGCTTAGCTTAATGTATGTAAGCATGTAACTGATGATTTTGCCTTGTTACCCTTCTGTTGATTTTTGTGTGTTTTTTTTTTCTTCTTTCTAGTGCCATTAACTGTCGGATTAATGAGATCAATCGCCGGTAGCGGTGATAATATGATTGTTCATTACTCTTTCCGCGTTTTCTTAAGTTTGATTTATAATGGTTTCATGAGTTACTTCATATATAGGACATATAGAATATGATTAAGTCGTCATATCTTAATACTAATCTGGCGCTTGGCTCACAATATCTAATGTATATATAATACCTAAATGAATGTCAAACCAATAAATGTTTTTTTGATGTTATATACAGCTGGATTAGTTGCTTGCATTGCATTGCACGATGAATTTTGGTAGTCAGTGTACTTATTCTTATGATATGGAGTGATCGACTGAATGTTTATACTGTGGTAATTATTTCCTAAAAGAATATTGATTTTATTTTCCGGTAAGGCCCCACATGATGAACCCACAACGCGACACCACAGCTGCCTCCGTCGTGTCTGTCACTCCGTCTCTGTTAAGGCCCTCATCAACAAATTGCTCGATTGTTAAGCCGCATTTGATTTCTCTGTTAAGTTGCATCCGATTTTAGACCCTCAGTCTCTGTTTAAGTGTTAAAGCCGTTTCAAGACTTGGTTTTGTAGAGTTTATTAGTGTAAGGCTGCTCTTCTTAGTATTGGTTCTTTCAAGCAGTTTAAAGACTTGGTTTTGTATTGATATATTAATAGTGTAAGGCTGCTCTTATTAGTATTGGTTCTATGATGTGTAGTTGAATTTCAATTTTGGTGTGCCGGACTAGATAGCAAAGTTCATCAGTTGGGTTGGTTTGGCATTTGGCATTCAGTTCATACATAGGATGGGGTGGGGTGGGTCATGGGTTCAATCTGTTGGGTCCGTCGCAGGCCACGAGCCAGGACGGGTCTGCACGACAGGTAAGCGGGCAAGGTCCGTAACTACTCGGCCCAATGCCATCCCTACTTGTTACATAAAGGGAAATTTTCAAGTTTCCTACGAGAAATAAAAAATATTGCAAAAATACCGTTCATATGTAATATATTGTACATCTACCTAATTTGTAAAAAT